AGCTCCGGGCAAGAGGTCCCGGGCAGCACGAGGGGGGAGCCCGCCCAGCCCCCAGGGGGCCCGGGACCTTTCCCTGTGGCGACCGCAGCGAGGTCCTGGCGGGGCGGAGGGTTGGGGACCTGGGGGGTGGGGGGCGACCGCCACACAAAGGCTGGGGACTCGGGCGGGGGCAGACCCCCCAGCGCGGCTCCGAAAGGTTGAAGAAAAGTTTTGGCGACGCCCCGCGCTTTGGCGACGCCCGCGCTCTCGTGCGGGAGGCGCTCGTCCGTGAAAGTTCCGCGGGGCCGGGGTCGGGGCCGGGGCGGGACGCGGCCGGGTGAAAGCGAGGCCGCGGGGCCGGGCGCGCGGAGGAGGCGCCGGTCTCGCATCCCGGTGGGTGGACCTCGGTCCAGGTCCCCGGGTGGCCTCCGCCTGGTGCCCCGCTGCCAGGCCCTTCTCCCCGCTGGGCCCAGACAGTGCGGGGCGCCCCTGCGCGGGTCCGTGGGGTTTGGCGGGGGTCAGCGGGGTCCTCGGGGAGAGGGGTCCCCGGCGGCGGCCTTTCCTGGAGCCGCTCCGATCCGCCAACCCCCCGACTTTCTCCCGGCCTCCCCACAGCCCATCCCTCCAGCCGGCGAGCTCAGGCGCACGGACCTCCCGCCCGGCTGAGCGCACGATGCGCGGGCCCGGGCGCCCCTTCCTCCTGGGGCTGCTGCTCGTGCTGGGCGCGGCGGGGCCCGGCCGGGGCGGCCCCGAGCCCCACGGGGAGGCGGACCGGCAGACGCTGCTGCGGCTGCTCCTGGAGATCATGCAGGAGCTGAAGAAGTTCCACGCGGGGGAGGCCAAGCGGCTGCAGCCCCCGGGCCCGCGGGACGCCGCTCCCGGCCGCAGGGAGGCCGCCGACTACACGCTGGACCCCGAGGAGCAGCGCGCGGGTGAGTGCGAGCGGCCAGACCGGACGGAGCTCGTGTGGTTGGGAGTAGAAGGGTCTCTGGGAAAACGCGTTTTAAAAAGGCAAATGCATGTCGATTGTTAAAATAATAAGAAAATAGGGAGCCCGTGCATGGTGCCTCGCGGACAACGGTCCACAGCCCACTTCCCACGCGGGGTTGTCACCTGGGCCGTTAATTTCCGCGCAGACCTGGCTTTCCTGTTGGAAATGGACATACTTTCAGCAATTTTAACTGAGAGAAATGGCCCAGGCTCACCCCGCGCAGAGCCCACAGTAGGCCCGGGAGGTTTCCCAGGGAAGCAGGCGGCTTTTCATGCTCCCCTGACACAATTAGGTCAAACACGAAAAGGTCAGTGCTACAGAGACTGGCTCAGGTTGGGAGCAAATGAAGACTGACATGGGGGATGAGCCTCCTGTGTGGCGCGCGCTCCTGCTGAAAGAACGAGGGCCCGAGCGATTAGCCCCGACCAGCGCAGGACAGGCAGTGAAGGTGGCTGCCTGCCTGTGAAAGCAGCCACAGGCTGAAGCCGGGAAGAATGCGGTGGAACCATGGCCAGTTACCGAATGCCCACCAGCGCTGTGGGTCGGCGTGGAAGGGGGGTTCCCCAGGAATTCTTTTATCTCAGAAACTAGGCTCATGTCCTGCTTTAGCAGATAAACCGTGCATGTACCCAGCTTTCATAACAGGTGGTTTGAAGGCATTTCATCCGTCTTCTAAATATACACCATGAAAAAGCAAAATTCTATCCTCCCTTTTTGTTTGAAGGATGAGGCTTTCCTTCTAGAACTTGGAGAGGTTGTGGAGAATTGATTCCTAAGCTCTTCAAGAAAAACGTGCCTGAAAGTGACTTATTCACTGGAAGCTAACTCTCAAAACCAACCAGACACATGATTGTCTTCACTTTATACCGTGACGGTCACACCTCTGTCCTGTGGTAGAGACCAGGCAGGTGACACTGGAGCCCTGTGGGCCGTCAATACTGTTTAGAGAAACATGATGCCAGGTGTTCACTTGTATCATGTACAACAGGCAGGAGGCTCAGACCTGTTTTATTTGGTTAATTGATAGGCGACCTGTTTTATTTGGTTAATTGACAGGCGATGCAGACGTACCGGTAAGTTCCTTCAGCATTCGTGTAAGATCATGCGAGATGCTTCTTTCAGGCAACACAATAACCAACTTCTTTTCCCTCCAACAGAAATCGTTCCTCGAGATCTAAGGATGAAGGACAAGTTTTTAAAGCATCTCACAGGTAGGTTTCCTCCTCACCCCTCCTGTGCCCCGTCCTGGTACCCAGGAGCCTCACGCCCCTCTCTCCTTCCCTGTCCCAGGTCCTCTCTACTTCAGCCCCAAGTGCAGCAAACACTTCCACAGGCTTTACCACAACACCAGAGACTGCACCGTCCCAGCATGTGAGTGACAGCTGAGCTGCTGGGGGCAGCAGGGGGTGGGAGTAGGGGGGGGGGTTACCACGCCCTCCCAGACTGGCCTGCCTCCTAATACTGTTCCCTCAGCCGTGGAGTTAGGGGCCAGGGTGACCCCCCACTGGAGGTCACTGCACTGGGCAGCAGTCAGGGCCAAACTTGAAACTGGTGACATTCGCTGTGGTTAACCAAGGCTTAGAGTGGGTGTCGCTCATTCTGCTCATGGATTTCCATCTACACAGCTGTGCCAATCAAACAAACATTAGGAATAAGTCACTAAAGTGCCTACTGTGCACTGGGTGAGAAGAGGTGATGGGCCTACTTCCCTGGGCAGCGATACCCTCGTCACCCGGGAGTAAACTGCTGTTTCAAAACTCTGCTCTTCTGATGGCTTTGTCACTAACTCAGAAGCGCAGGCCTGCCCTTCCCGGTGCCAAGCTGCCGTGCCGTGCTGGGATCTATCCGGGACAGCACGCATTTCATTTCCCCACAGCGGCTCCTGTGCTGTTCACAAAACAGTCACTATTAGGTAGAGTGATATCTACTAGAGCCCTAAAACCTTTTTCTTTTGAGGGAGTACACCTTTCATTGACAGCTGGGGGAAGCAGGGCGGGAGATCACAGACACCCCGTATCTTACCAGCTGCTTTCAGGGTGACCAGGGGGCAGAGGAGACCCGCCTGTCCTGCCTTAAAAAGATAAGCCACTTTACAGGAAGTGGGAGTTTTTCCAGCTCAGGCAGCAGTTACCCTGAATAACAACAGGTGTCATTTAAGGAGCTCCTTGTCCAGGCACATTCACAAAACCCCCAGGAAGGCTGAGAGCACCCCAGGCTCCTGCAGCTGATGGGGTGACCCCAAGGCAAACAGCACACCTCACACCCCTGCCATATGGGTCTGGTACACATCACCCCTGCATGTCCTTCCTGAGACAGTCACCTGCTGTCTGGGAATGATTAACCTGCTTCCTTTGTTGTCTTAGTGTGTACCTACGTTTATGTTAAATGCTGCCCTACAATAACAGGACCAAAGACCTAAGTTTGAAAGTGGTCTTTGGGTCATTATTTCTATCCTTCCAATTGCGGAAAGAGGCCCCACACTTAGGCTGCTTGTGCAGACCACACACTCACTGCAGACCCTTCTCCGGGGGCTCCACGTGTGCCGTGTGCTGCCTCCTGGGCTCGCAACTCAGCCGCAGCCACCACGGCTCCTAGTCCCACGTAGGCAGAGGCCGTCGTCAGTCAGACCCAACCACGCTCTCCCGGGTGTCGGAGGTGGGAGGCCACACACCTGTGCACTGCATAAGGGTCCCTACCTGGGTCCACTCTCAGCCCAAGGCCTGCAGCTGGCCCACATCCACGCTGCTCTGGGCACTTGGGAGGTTGCGCTAAGGGGACCCGAGGCCTCTGTACTTGGTGTGTCCTGGTCCCAGAGGAGCTCCCGGAATGGGAGGGTGTCAGGTCCTACCCAGACCCGGGCAGTCTGTGCCTCAGTAAGGTCCGGGGTGGACACGCAGGTTGGAGGACCCGTGGACTGAGTGGAAACGCATGCACAGGTGATGCTAGAACTGCCTGTAAAAACTGCTGCAGGTGGAGAGACCTCAGGAACTGAGGGCCCAGCCTCCGGAGACCATCCTGTCCTCTGAACCCAGATGCCTCTTCCTCTGGCTACTCAGGGCACCTTGGGGTCTGAGTTACCTGCCGATGTGACGCACTGTCCTTGATTCATTCATTCGGGTTTTCAGTTAGGAGTAGACTCTTCCACTTCTAGTGGGAGGGACTCTGTGACTTGAGCAGCCAGCTCAGTCTTTATAAACCGAGGCAGCTTTGCAGCCCCTGTGCAGGGTCCTGCGGCTGGCTCTCAGGGAGCACCTGAGGCAGGGATGACAGGGCAGTGGGAGGGACCAGGACTTCAGTCTGCACCCGATTCGCTGATGGCTGCCCTCCGCCTGGGTCTTCATGCTGGATACCTGACATGACTCACTTTCTCTAGAATTTTATGCAGAAGGCTCTGTGCTATGAAGTTGAGGGGACTCAGCCTGCACAGGATATAAACGTTAAGTAACAGCAGCACGAGAAGCCATCTGCTAGGGAGCAAAACTGGTTCTTCCCATGAGCCCCAGCACAGCCTCCTGGTTACATCACCTCACCTCTGCCACCGGACGCTAAGTTATTACATCAACAGCTTAGGGCCCATGGCTGCAAGTGACGGGGTCCATTGCTCCCAGGGAACTCAGGAGACTAAGGGAGTCAAATGGTCTCAGCAGTTGTGTGGTTGTTGTAAATGCCATTCACTGGAGCTACCTGGGGACTGACGGGTCCGGGGTTTCTCTCCACTCAGACTACAAGAGGTGTGCCCGGCTGCTGACCCGGCTGGCTGTGAGCCCCGTGTGCATGGACGGGTGAGGTAAGCTCCACACAATCAGCTGGCAGACCGGTGTCCCGCTGGGGACTGGAAACAATTCATGGGGCTTCAGTAACACTCATGTTTTTGCCAAGGTAGCCTTACTTTAAGTTGACATAACACTCAGAATATCAGTAAAAGGTGCCTGTACTGTCTACACCAGGGGTCCTCAAACTACGGCCTGCGGGCCACATGCAAATACAAATATTGTATTTGTTCCCGTTTTGTTTTTTTACTTCAAAATAAGATATGTGCAGTGTGCATAGGAATTTGTTCATAGTTTTTTTTTTAAACTATAGTCCGGCCCTCCTACGGTCTGAGGGACAGTGAACTGGCCCCCTGTTTAAAAAGTTTGAGGACCCCTGGTCTACACAGTCCCAGGCCACCCATCAAGTACTCATGTGATGACATGGTTGGCGCACAGTGTGTTTATGTGAAGCTATTTCAGCACACGAGTCAGTGCGCACAGTAGGGTGCACATCTGAAGTCACACTTGCTCACTCCTCCACTCGGCACTCACTCACACCAGGCACAGGACTAACACATCCGTGCTGACTTTGTAGACCTGGAATACCTCCACAGAAACACTACCTGGCCCAGTAACGCCGGTCTATCATCATTCCTAAAATGATGCCATGCCGACGGCTCAGGACCGTGTGGAGATGAAGTGCTGCTTCTTGGTAGCCTTGCAGACGTGCTCACACAGGTCCGGGCTGCTCGGTCTTGCCCAGGACGGCCCCCGAGCTCTGAGGACCTGACAGTGGCAGCAGGACCAGACGTCCACCCGTGCTCACGGTGGTCCTCACGCCTTTACCTGGGTGGGTACGCAATCACCCGTAGCTGAGTTAGTTCCCACTTGGGGAACAGAGAACCATGCGTGCACAGATTCCTCATGTTTACAGACGTCATGTTACATGACTCAGCGCATGGGTCTTCTGGGGCCGGTAACTGGAGAGTGACAGCCCCATGTTTGTTTCAGCAGCGGGTGACCACAAAGGAAACCACGAGAAGTGCCTTGGAGACCAACAGGGACACAGAACCTACTACCTTCACACACACGCCCCCTGAACAAGAGAGTTATTTTTGCAGACTCCCGCGATTCCTTCAGTTTCGTATGTTGACACTGTTGGGCACCTGACAGTGAACCCGCCTTTCCTTGAGGAAGCGAGCGCGCGCTTGCCGGTCACACCCTGCAAGGACGGAGGCACCTCACTCTCCTAATTGGGTGAAATCACAGAGTATTTCTTTAGATTTCAAATATAGATTTGAAACTATATTTTCATATAGCATATGGTATGATTTAATATTTTTGTTACTTTTACAATTAAATTCCCAGATATTATTTGGAACTGCATGAAAACAATTTTTTAAAAAGATGACTTCAGCCATGCTTTGGAGACAGTGAAGTGTAATCGTGCGCACAGCGAGGTCAGTTCACCTGCCCTTTGTGTAATAAATGTAAGACAGGATCAGCCTATTGTGTAATATGTACATACTGTAAATAAAGCAAGTAATAAAGTGTTTGTTATAATAAAAATCTTAAAAGTGACTTTTTTTCTAACACGTCCATCGCTGGGAATGCACGGTGTACAAATCGATGAAGACAATACTGGCAGCATGCCAGAGACATGAAAGGCATAAACAAGCAACACGGGAAGGCTGTGCGTTTTTGTAACCAACAGTTATCACAGGTAGCAGTGAACGTTTCCACGCCTGCACCTGTAGTTCCCGTGTGACGAAGCACAGAGCATGCCCTACAGGAACCTTGACTTCCAAGCAGCTCCAGGTTTTTATAGGCACAAATCTGACTGGATCCAATTTAAAAAGACAAGTGAACTCAGCGGAGTTTCTCTTCACGAACCCTGGTCTAGGGACAACCGTGCGGAGAGCCCTAGGGTTTGAGGACCGCACCTGAGACCGACATTAAACATGAAGAACGACAGGCATTCATTCTGAACATAAAGGAACAGGAGAGGGAAAGCTCTGCTTCCTAAGCGATTCCTGGAAGATAGGGCGGGTAAATTTTTGAAGTGCTCTTTTAATCTATATTCTCTCCAGTCTTTACTTTTTAGTAGATCTTATCAAACTCTCAGCCTACCCTCTCAAGGGCCTGTGTGGCCTAGGAAGAGCTTTCATGGTGAGACTCTTGAGGAATCCTGTCTCCTGCCCTGGCCTCCCGTCTTCGCCTCCATGTCCCTGCTGCTCGGGTGGGACAGCCACCTGCTCATCCTCCAGGCACAAGGGGGTTCAGGATGAAGCACCCAGCCTGGGACCCTCATGGCGCTGCCGACAGGAGGTCCCCAAAACCCAGGAGAAGTAGGCAGCCTTCCTCTGACTCTTACTCCTCCAGGAAGTGACCCCCAGACTCTGGTTGGGGACTGCCCTGTGACGGAGACAGAGCTAGGAGTGGGGTGAAGACAAAGTGAACTGCCACCCATGGGACCGTGACACCCACTCGTAAGGGTCAGGCGAGGACACTCGGGTTCAGGGGCCTCGAACTTCTTCCATAAGCAGACATCACTGTCATTTTCCTCACTGTCCTTCCTAACACTGGAGATAATGTACATACAGCACCACAGACCATTGGAAAGGAAAAATCAAGGCACCCTTTCCAATTCTTCTTCACTTGTCAATAAAAAAGCAGGCACACAGCAGACTTACATCTTAGTCGTATTTTTATAATTTCCCCAGTTTATTTTGAAGTCTTCTCTAACATGTAGCCATATGAGTTTTAGATTAGTTATCCGAAAGGACATAGAAGTTACCTATAAATTAAGCACTGAAGAATACGTATCACCACATCAATATTTAAGCATTCCAACTTAAAATTTTCCAACTCTTACTAACCACAGATAAAGCAGCTAACAAGTGTCCTTCTTTCTGGATATAATTGTGGCTCAACTGGGACAAATAAGCTGACTCCCTTATGCTACAAGCTAGACAGAAACTAGGAAGGATTGTTATTCCATAAACCTTTCTCTTTCCTACAAGCACAGGGTGTGAACGAACATGCTCATGGGGCTTATGAGCCCCGAGGGAGGGCCCCTACCGCCCGTGGAAGGGAGTGGCCGGGGACAGGGCGCTCCTTCTCATGTCGTCCGGACTCGGGGAAGGAGGAGGCAGGAGACTTACGAGGCTCACATGCTGACGGAGGGATAGGTTGTTCTACGGTTTCGTCTGAAACTGGAGCCAAGTGGGAGGCCCCACTGGTGTAAGAACACTTCGTGTGCCCCATAAACTGTCTGAGTTAAAGATATTTATTCTTTTGCCAAACACAACCACTGATTTCCATCTACAATTATTTTTAAGGTAAGAAACAGCAGGTGGATGCAAATACCAGCACTGGCCTTGAGCTACGGACGTGACCCTCGGCTGGGACGCGGGGCCGGGCACCAGCGGGCTCAGGGACGGACGCACTAGTGGGCCTTCTCCAGGAAGGCCCTGCAGCACCTCAGACACTGCTGGTACACGGTTTCAAAGTCGGACTCATTCCCCTAGGAGGAAAGAAAAAATAAATAAACCTGTGAAACAAAAATGCCCCGAGAACCTCAGCACGCCATTCCACGTGGCTGGACACAGAGTGGGTGGTCCTCACACTGGCCCCGTGTGGGCGTGGCCCGTACTCACGTAATAGGGGTCTTCAATAATGAGCTGTTTCTGAGGATCGTAGCTCCCAAGTAGTTCAATCTTAGCTTTGCTGTTATTGACTTGATGACTTTTTCTAGTCAAGTCTCTGTAAAATTGAAGCGGTAACTTAAGTTTTCTGACCAGTGGTCTCAGGTTAAACAGGGACATGTGCCAGGGTTTTATGAAACACCCAGCAGTGGTGGCCTGATCTGAACAGGATGTCAGACCTCAGACAGGACCGGCCGACCTCAGACAGCCGTTTGTCAGCTGCACAGCAGCACCATCTCCTGACCTTTTACACCAAACATGCATCCACAAGTCAGAGCACAGCCCTGGATTCCCCCGTGAAACACAATCCGTCAGAGACCCGGCTCGGGGATTAAACAGAGACATCCGTGGATCTCGAAAGGCCATGGGAACTAAGCCCCAAGGGCTGTCAGCCTCTGAGGTGCTGGGTCCCCATCAGCCTCACTGCTCACTCCGGGGCCTCAGCTGCACCTGAGCTGGGACAGACAACGGACACCCTCTCCTCAGCCCTCACGCTGCTACAGGAGGAAATGCTGACTTCGCAGAGCTACGTGGCAACACACCTCGCCTGAGCACGGTGCTGCCATGGGGGTGTTAGTGTCTTAACAGACCATTTCCCTAAAGGGACCTGGGCTCATGTGGGGCACAGGCAGGACTCTGCTTTCCCAGAGCTGAGGACCCACCCACCGAATCTGTGAACCTGGGCAACTACCTCCAGTGCCCTGTGCACGGAGTCCCCGGTAAGATGGGGCAACCATACACACCTACCAGTTGCGGGCTTTGGCACCCAGAGCTGACAACACATTACATCAAGGTCAGACATTTTCACCAAATACCATACGGCGTCAGGTTGTTGTTTTTTTAAATCAATTAAAGCAATCAACAATTTAAATAGAGTAAGATGTTTCCTGTCAGTCTCAGTTTTTTTGTGCGCGGGGGTGGGGTTGGGGAGGGGAAGTCAGATGAGAAACACAATAAAACACCACATTGTCCAGGAGTCATTGCAGCCACAGCAAAGCCACTCCCCGCGAGCATGACACCACACGCTGGGAGAACCTGCCCCGCACGCCAGCTGCGCTCCGAGTTACAGGTGTAACTCGACTGTCCCTCATCTGAGCGGCGTCTCTTTGTAAATATACCCATAAGACAGTTCTAAATTAATCTCTGAATTTCTTACTATGCTAAATAAATTAATTCTGTAAACTGTGGCCATCACTATCTAGTAAAAAATTTAAGATAATATAAAAGTCACTTGGACAGCAAACTACTTGGCCTGTCACTGGAATGAAGGTTGAACAGAAATATCCTTCAGAAAGGCGATTACCTCAGATTGCTCTCATCCATACACAGCATATAATCGAATGTGACAAAATCTTCTTTAGTAACCTGAAATTACATAAGAAAACAAAGGCATAGTATTTATATTTATACCAATCGAGTCTAGGGGATACAGAGCAGTAAAAAAAATGGCTATATTAGAACCTATTACTCAAAAATTAAATCTAGGGTACTTTAAAGTGAAAATAGAGTTAACCTATTTCCTAAAATTGTATTGCAAAAAAAATATCCTAGGTAATAAAAGGCTAATATGCAAGCTGTCCCCTTGGGAGTTTGACCACCCACTATGATGTGCGCTGACCACCAGGGGGTGGCACGGAACGATCGGCCCTGATCACCGGCCAGGCCTACGGACCCTTCCCATGCACCGGGCCTCTAGTTATATTATAAAGTTCCTGAATAAATATAAAATAGTATAATATGTAGACACAGAGTTTATACTTCATCTTCAATTTCTTAGTAACAATGCAGAATTCAGTTAACATATCAAAATGTCATATACACAAATGAAAATGAAAACACAATGATTCAAAATCTATGGGACACAGTGAAAGCAGTTGTAAGAGGGAAATTCAAAGCATTACTGGCCTACCTCAGGAAATAAAAAAAATATCAAATAAACAACCTAACCTCACACCTAAAGGAACTAGAAAAAGCAAACAAAGCCCAAAGTGAATAGAAGAAAGAAAATAATAAAGATCAAATTAGAAATAAAAGTAGAGACTAAAAAATAATAGAAATAAAACCAAGAGTTGGTTCTTTGAAAAGATAATCAAGATTGGCAAACCTTTATTCAGACTCACGCAAGATTAAAGGAGAGAGGACCCAAATAAATATAAATTTCACAAATAAATGAAAGGGGAGAAGTAACAACTTACACCAAAGAAATACAAAGAATTGTAGGAAAATATTACAAACAACTATATGTCAAAAAATTGGACAATATGGAAGAAATGGATAAATTCCTAGAAATATACAATTTTCTAAGACTCAGTCAGGAAAAAACAGAAAATCTAAACAGATTACTAGTAACAAAATCAAAGTAGTAATCAAAAGCTCCCAATAAACAAAAGTCTGAGACCAAATGGCTTCAAATCACCTTTCTTCTCAAACTATTCCAAAAATTTCAAGAGCAGAGAAGGCTCTAAAAACTCATTTTACAAGGTCAGCCTTACCCTGATTCCAAAACCAGACAGAAACATTACAAAAAAAAGAAAAATACAAGCCAATATCCCCAATGAACACAGACAAAAAAATCCTCAACAAAATATTTGCAGCCGAAACCGGTTTGGCTCAGTGGATAGAGCGTCAGCCTGCGGACTGAAAGGTCCCAGGTTCGATTCCGCTCAAGGGCATGTACCTGGGTTGCAGGCACATCCCCAGTAGGAGATGTGCAGGAGGCAGCTGATCGATGTTTCTCTCTCATCGATGTTTCTAACTCTCTATCTCTCTCCCTTCCTCTCTGTAAAAAAAAAAAAAATCAATAAAATATATAAAAAAAATATTTGCAAACCGAATTCAGCAATACATTAAAAAGATCATGCACCATGATAAAGTGGGATTTACTCCAGGGATGCAAGGTTGATGCAATATTCACAAATGAATAAATGTGATACATCATAAACAAAATAAAAGATAATCATAGTCATATCAACAGATGCAGAAAAACCATTGACAAAATCTAGCACCGACTTATGATAAAAACACTCAGCAAAGTGGGAACAGAGGAAACATACCTCAACATAATAAAGGCCAATATGGACAAACCCACAGCCATAATCAATTCAACAGGAAAAAAGTAAAAGCGTTTCCCTTAGGATCAGGAACAAGACAAGGATGTCCACTTTCACAACTCATACAACATAGTACTCGAAGTCCTAGCCATAGCGATCAGACAAGACATAGAAATAAAAGGCATCCAAATTGGAAAGGAGGAAGTAAAACTCTCATTATTGGCAGATGACATGATACTGTATATAGAGAGCCCTAAAGATTAACTGATAAATGAGTTCAGTAAAGTAGCAGCATACAAAATTAATATTTAGAAATTAGTGCCAGCACCGGTTTGGGTCAATGGATAGAACGTCAGCCTGTGGACTGAAGGGTCCCGGGTTCGATTCCGGTCAAGGGCATGTACCTTGGTTGCGGGCACATCCCCAGTGGGACATGTGCAGGAGGCAGCTGATCGATGTTTCTCACTCATCGATGTTTCTAACTCTCTATCCCTCTCCCTTCCTCTCTGTAAAAAAATCAGTAAAATATATTTAAAAAAAAAATAGAAATTAGCTGCATTTTTACATATCAATATCAAACTACTCAAAAGACAAATTAAGAAAAT